ATTTTGTCCAAAATGACCTTCGACCTGCTTTCCGAGCCATGAGGGAACTCCGATCAAAGTCCATCTCTCAATCGGGCTCAGTGAGAGCAGAGGATGGTCGCATTGTGTCAGAGCCTGGTGAGTAGAGGGCCCGCTGGGCTGAGTACTTTGAGCAACTGTATAGGGTAGCTGCCCCGTCTTCACAACTCCCGTTGGCTGGCACACAGCCACTAGTGGCTGATCCACCAATCAGTGAGGCACCACCTTCCATCGAAGAGGTGAGAAGGGCAATGTCTAAGCTGAAAAGTGGAAAGGCTGCTGGTGTCTGTGGGATTGCTGCAGAGTTGTTAAGGGCGGGTGGAGAAGCCATGATCTGTGGTTTGCATGCAGTCCTGCCTGCCGTTTGGGAGACTGGTACCATTCCCCCTGACTGGAAAAGGGGCTTGGTAATCCCTATCTGGAAAGGGAAAGGGGACCAAAAGGACTGTGGCAACTACAGAGGTATTACATTGCTCAGCATACTAGGCAAGGTCCTCGCTCATCTACTTTTGGCACGAGTGCACGACCACCTATTACGAGCACAGAGACCTGAGCAGTCTGGGTTTACCCCCAAGAAGTCAACTATAGACCGTGTCTTAGCACTTCGGGTCCTTGTGGAACGCCGACTTGAGTTTCAACAGGGTATGCTTGCAGCTTATGTTGATCTCAAGAAGGCTTTCGACTCAGTGCACCGGGAGAGTCTCTGGAGCCTACTGGGTCTCCGTGGGATCCCCCTTGGAATTATTGGTTTGCTGTCTGGCCTGTATACAGATACTGAGAGTGCTGTCAAGTGTGGAGAGAGCATCTCTGCCTTTTTCAACACTTGTATGGACTGGATACTTGGCCATATCGTGAACCGTAGTTCCTGTGGGGCATCAATTGGTAATTTCAAGGTCACAGACCTTGACTTTGCCGATGATGCAGTGATTCTAGGGGAGACATTAGAGGTCCTGGAAGTAGCTCTCGAGGCGCTGCATGAGGAGGCGAAGCCGTTGGGACTCGCGGTCAACTGGACCAAGACCAAGGTTCAGGAATTTGGGGACTTTTTGGATGTCGATGTTCAGTCTGTGCATGCCTGTGGCGAGAACATTGAGGTCTTGGATAGCTTCACTTATCTTGGTAGTGTAGTGCAGAGCGACGGAGGTTCCGACCGGGAAGTCACTCGACGACTCGGACTGGCCTACAGCGTTATGGACTCACTCAATAGGAGTATTTGGCGCTGTCGGTA